TGGAAAGTCTTGCGAGCGAACGCAAAAATATGAAAGTATTGTTTTTCCTCCGATTTTATTTTCCCCCATCAACATGTCCCTATATAGTGGGCTTCGCACTATAGTGATGTTCAAGATATTGAATAGAAAAACAAACAAAAAAAAACCCCACTGATGATGCATAAATATTCCAAAAAGAAGTTTAAAAGTATTAAATTATTTAATGGTGCTGGCAAGGGGATTTTAAGCACAGAAAAGATTTAAATCTTTAAGAGTTTCAGCAATTCCACTGTGTAAGAATGACAGGTACAGGTATATTTGTGCTATAATATGTTACAACTAGGGTGGCAGTATTATCTACACTGTTTGATTTTTGTATTTAAAAAAGCTCATTCCGCTCTACTCTTGTAGTTTTTCTTCTAAAGCACAGGAATTTCATCCATCTAGTCCATTCTGCTTTTCACTTCCTGCCTTTCATCTGCATTTTGAGCGTCATCAAAATCACGTGACTGCAAACAAGCTATACCATAAAAACTAAGTGAGTAATGATTTTTATTAAATAAAAATAAATAAAATCCTTAGCACACTTTTTACAAATCGATCAAATCCAGCATATATAAGTCATATCCACATCCATTATTTCACACTGAATATTCTTTCACTAAGAAATGCTATACTACAAAAATTAAATGTATTTTATGTTAGCCTTTATGCACATTAAAAATATTTAACTTTTACTTGCATTTTTAAAAAAAAAAGTCAAAATCAAAAATTCTTTTTAAAACCTTACTACCCGACACTGGGTTGAATTACACAATGTTTGATGGTTCTCTCACCGATAGCCAGATGCCAGTGATCTTTAAGAATGATTTGGAGATTCCTTAACACCAGCTGGATGACGTAGAGAGAAAAAGACCATCCGCCCATCAGCAGCACATAAAATGGGCTTTTCTACAGGCCAAGGAAACATGTTGAAAATAAGACCGTTTAATAAGATCTCATTATTAATTGCTAAAAAAAAAAGCCGAACAAAATCCTGAGATGCTCAATGGTAGAGACTAGAGAGAAAGACATTTAAATCACATTAAAGAATGTCAGGAATCTACCTTGGGTAGAAAACGGCCAATGACGAAGATGAGGATGATGAGAGAGGCGATCATTCCAGTGCTCATGCCAGCAGAGTAGTAGAACACTTGACTTCTACAAGACAGATTAAGCACTGAGAGTTACAAACACTACGTCAAACTAACAACCCAAATTGTGCCTCCATCCAAGAAAAGGAAGAGCAGAGTAGGCTAATATCTTTGATTAAAGGAATAGCTCACTCAAATAATCATTTGTAATCACTAGGGTAAGTGTACCTTCAGCAAATTTTCATTTTTGGGTTAACTATTCTGTATATAAACAGATATAGTTTAAATTACCTGCTCAGAGAATCTGCAAAAAAGAACAGCAACAGTCCAGCCAGAAAAACCAAAAATAAGTAGATGTCAAAATCTATAAGAGAAAAATCAATGTCAATCTCAAAATCAGTATCAGTCCCGATCATATCAGAGCATGAAGACTGGAATGGGTTTTCCGTTCCATTTGGATTTTCTTTCTTTTAAATATGTTTTCAACTCACGTCGACTAGGTTGTACTGTATAGAGTGTACGGGAATCTGAAGGGTCCACTCTAAAACAGGTCTTGTTGTTAAAGAGACTGATGCTCACGGTGGCCTCATTGGTCTGTTCACGAACAAAGTACTGCACAAGTTTCCAGATGCTGAAATGCTCAAGCTCCTGCAGGTCCTGCTCATCATTAACCACCGTCACCTTCAGCTTTGTAGTGCTCCACACTCTCACCTGTTGATCAAATAAGAGGAAGGCGCTGTCAATATTGATGCAAACATTACTGGCGACATAAACAAGAGTCATAGTTAAAGGTCCTCTACCTGTATTCTAGTCCATGTTTCCCTCCATCCAGGTACGATGGAGTTATTGTAGCAAAAATGTTGTGCGGCTTGTACTTTGATTTCTTGTCCATCTTTAACTTCTATAATGGGACGGGTGGCACCTGCATGAAGATGAAAATGACAGAGTCATACTTTGTGCGAATCTATCTATCTATCTATACTAGTCAACATTTGAAGTGGATCAAAACCTTTCATCAAAGTTGTCCTAAAACCAAAATGCATTCTTGTCTTAGGACAACTGATTAACTTTTTTGATCCACTTCAAATGTTGACTAATATACTGTATGTGTATATCTATATATATATATACACATACATACACACACACATACATACATACATACATACAGGTGCATCTCAAAAAATTTATATATATATGTATATATATATATATATATATAAAAAACTTATTATATAGTTTTTTTTTGTTTTAATTTTGATTAGAACTTATAGCTCATGAAAGTAAAATATCCAGTATCTCAAAATATTCTAATATTTACATTTGAGTTTCATTAAATGACCATCCTTACAGTATAAATTCCAGGTATCTCTTGTTCTTTGAAACCACAATAATGGGGAAGACTGCTGACTTGGCAATGGTCCAGAAGACAATCATTGACAATCACCCTCCACAAAGAGGGTAAGTCACAGAAGGTCATTACTGAAAATGGTTGGCTGTACACAGAGTGCTGTATCAAAGCATATTAAATGCAAAGTTGACTGGAAGGAAGAAATTGGGTAGGAAAAGGTGCACAAGCAACAGGGATGACCGCAAGATTGAGAATACTGTCAAGGAAAGCCGATTCAAACACTTGGGAGAGTTTCACAAGGAGTGGACTGAAGCTGGAGTCAGTGCATCAAGAGTCACCACGCTCAGACGTCTTCAGGAAAAGTGCTACCAAGCCACTTCTGAAACAGAAACAACGTCAGAAGCATCTTACCTGGACTAAGGAGAAAAAGAACTGGACTGTTGCTCAGTGGTCCAAAGTCCTCTTTTCAGATAAAAGTACATTTTGCATTTCATTTCGAAATCAAGGTCTGGAGTCTGGAGGAAGACTGGAGAGGCACAGAATTAAAACTGCTTGAAGTCCAGTGTGAAGTTTCCGAAGTCAGTGATGATTTGGGCTGCCGTGACGTCTGCTGGTGTTGGTTCACTGTGTTTTATCAAGTCCAAAGTCAATGCAGCCATCTACCAGGAGATTTTGGAGCACTTTATGCTTTCATCTGCTGACAAGCTTTATGGAGATGCTGCCAAGTGGTTTGCTGACCATGATTTTACTGTGCTTGATTGGCCAGCCAACATGCCTGACCTGAACCCCATATGGAATCTATGTGATATTTTCAAGAGAACGATGAGAAAGAAGCCGATCCAACAATCCAGACGAGCTGAACGCTCAATAGTGCCTCAGCAGTGCCACAGGCTGATCGCTTCCATGCCACACCTCACTGATGCTAGAGTTTGTGCTAAAGGAGCCCTGACCAAGTATTGAGTGCATAAATGAACATACTTTAAAGAACTTGAACTTTTCTGTTTTGAAGGTCTGGAGTCTGGAGGAAGACTGGAGAGGCACAGAATTAAAACTGCTTGAAGTCCAGTGTGAAGTTTCCGAAGTCAGTGATGATTTGGGCTGCCGTGACGTCTGCTGGTGTTGGTTCACTGTGTTTTATCAAGTCCAAAGTCAATGCAGCCATCTACCAGGAGATTTTGGAGCACTTTATGCTTTCATCTGCTGACAAGCTTTATGGAGATGCTGCCAAGTGGTTTGCTGACCATGATTTTACTGTGCTTGATTGGCCAGCCAACATGCCTGACCTGAACCCCATATGGAATCTATGTGATATTTTCAAGAGAACGATGAGAAAGAAGCCGATCCAACAATCCAGACGAGCTGAACGCTCAATAGTGCCTCAGCAGTGCCACAGGCTGATCGCTTCCATGCCACACCTCACTGATGCTAGAGTTTGTGCTTAAGGAACCCTGACCAAGTATTGAGTGCATAAATGAACATACTTTAAAGAACTTGAACTTTTCTGTTTTGCAAATCCTTTTTTTTTTTTATTGATCTTAGGAAATATTCTAATACTGGATTTTTGACTCATGAGCTGTAAGCTCAAAACTTTTGCAATCTTTTACTTCTCTCTCTCTCACTCACTCACTCACACACTCACTCACTCACACACTCACACACTCACACACACTCACACACACTCACACACACACACACACACACACACACACACACACACACACACACACACACACACACACACACACACACACACACACACACACACACACACACACACACACACACACACACACACAATTTATGAAGTATTATGAAGATGTTTTCCAATCGACAATCTCTTGTGTCTCGGTTCTACTACAAAACCACTGGCTGAGACATAAAATACTGATTTTATTACATATCGTTATTTTCAAAAGATCAGTTTTTACAGCTTTAACAACATCAACTACACACTTAGTACGCTAACAACACTTAGCTTTCCTTAATTGTACTAAATCATTTAAAAGCAATATATATCAAAACATAACATATTAAACCATAACTATTGCTTACCTGACGTTTGAGACAAATGAAATAAAAACAACACAGCACTCAAGATAACTTTCAATCTGACAGTTTCGATTCCAAAGCCACTTTCGGATTTCATTAATCCCGCCATGATGTCTTCTCGCGTTTCTTCGATGGTCGGAGTGGCGTTACCGACGAGACTTGAGTGCTGAACAGCGTCACCTGCTGCACTGGAGGAAACAGCGCATCTGTCAGCCGCAACATCACACGGTTGTTTGTCTCAACAGCAAAATCAAAAAGGATCTTATGAAACACTGCATTTGTTCTCATTTGTTAAACTTCTGTTTCTATTCAAATTGGGATATATGTTCAAATGTTTTTGATGTGATATTTTACAGTTATAATGTATAAGACAATCTATAAAACAGATATAATCTATAGTTCTTAATAAATTATATTCGGTATATATGCATAAAAATAGCACTTTGCAAATACAATTTCTTGCTTTAATAAAAAAAAAACAGTCCCACTCAGAATTTTCATTTATTAAAGTTTTTCCATCACATTTCTTATGATTCATTTTAAACAGGTGTTACAAGCATGACAGACACTCCGCTTCACTAACCCTATTAAACAAGTCACAGCACAGCCATTTCTCTGCCCTGTGACAGACTGTCTTTTCCTGTTGTGGTTTCTCATAATCCAATCCTTTGTCTTTAAGGCTCTTGCTTCCCGCTCTTCTTCTTCTTTGAGTTTATTGGCGGTTTGCATTCTTAAAAGAGCATTACCGCCATCTAGTGTGGTAATGGATCAGAGACACTATATCCCTACTCTCCAGAGTCAGACCATTCAGGACTCGTGCTACTTCCCTCTCTAAGAGCATTCAGCTTCCTTATGTCAAGCAAATCCTATCTTTTGTCCATGAAATGGACTAAATCAAATACAACATTTCAGAGGTCATTTAATTCACTTTACAGAGCATAAACATACCTATCTCTTCCACTGCTCCGGTTGTGTGTTCACGGTGTGTGTGTGTTCACTGCTGTGTGTGTGCACATAGGATGGGTTGAATGCAGAGCACTAATTCCTATGGGTCACCATACTTGGCCACATGTCACGTCACTTTCACTTTCACTTCTAGTTAAGAGTCTAAATCACTTTCACCTTTGTCATCATTACATCTATGCAGCATGAATTCAGGTGACCATATCACTTGCAACTTGCTAAAGAGTGAAAGAGAAAAATTGCAGGCTATGCATGAAATAATTACAGTATCAACACTATCAGTATAGCCTATAGTTCTATAATACAAAAATATTTCATTACTTCAATACAGAAATTCATATTCTTTCAATCAAAGCAAAATATATACAGATAGATCTGAGAGTAAAAAGAGATCCATGCCTTTCTTATAGCTGTAAATCACTAAAGCAAGATGAAAACACAAATTCAAAGAGAAGATATTTACAACAATTGAACAATTTATAGCATGACAGGTAAAGCTGCCCAGGGCAGATGTATTGTCCATTTTTAATAAGCATCTGGACATGCAGCATTAAATGGTCCATAAAGGTACAAATAAAGTACAAATGCTGGTCACAGATTGTCTCAACCCCAGGCTCCTCCCGGATGGAAATCTGGGACAACTGAAGCAGCAGCAGAAAGAGGAGTGGAATATCCCACAGTGAAGTTCTGCAGACCCAACATCAGACATTTCCAACTGTAGCGAAGAGCCTTTCCTACGTTCTGTAAAGCAAACAGAATGCTAAGAATTAAACACATACTGAATATATGACAAATGTATTGCCCTAAAGGATTTGTTGAAATTTGCTGAAAACCCATCCAAGATAGCTGATGATTGTTTCTTCATCGGAACAGATTAGGAGAAATTACATCACTTGCTCACCAATGGATCCTCTGCAGTGAATGGGTGCCGTCAGAATGAGCGTTTGTAAGAAACAAATCTAGCAAGGCATTTTAATTGTCACTTCTGGCCAAAACGTTCCTAAAACTGTCACTTCATCCAGTGAAAAAGTCCATCCCCTGTTGTCGTCTCACATTAAAATCCACAGACATTTGTTAAGAGCTGTTTTGGACTGCTTTCGCCTGTAAATGGTCCTTGATTTGCGCATAGTTATCTCCTGATTCAGATGAGGTGATTTTTTTTCACTGGAGAAAGCAATATTTTGAATAGCGGACTGGAGTCGTGTGGATTATCGTGATGTTTTTATCAGCTGTTTGAACTCTCATTCTGACAGCACCCATTCACTGCAGAGGATCCATTGATGAGCAAGTTATGTAATGCTAAATTTGTCCAAATCTGTTCCAAAGAAGAAACAAACTCTTCTTAAGATGGCCTTAGGCTGAGTAAATTTGAGCAAATTTTAATTTTGGGGTGAACTATTAGTAGCTTTGTTTTTCTTTTATTACAGAAATGCATTTTATATGACATCCAAAATTTAATTTTAATAATAAATTAAATAATCAAATTAAATGGAATTAATAGAGAAAGTATTGCATGACACAATAATTTGACTTATTGATTAAAAGAACCTTTAAAAGGACAAATGCTTGTTATATAAAAATGATCTGGTCCCCTTTTATATATTTTTATTTTTATTATACTCTCCACTCTTACTATCGGATAGCACTGTTGGGTTGTGTTCTGGGGGTTTGGGGTAGGAAAAATCTCTTGGTTTGTATTTTCCTTGTTCGTTTGGTGCTTTTTTCTTAATTTCCCATTTTTATTCAGGTTGGTTAATACTTTATTTCATTGTTTAATTCTTTATTATTTACAATTATGTTTTGTTTTTAGATAAATAACTTAAAAAGTTGAATTATTAAAAAAATAATAATTACACAAAATGATTTGGCTGTTAGGGAACATTTGCTTTTCCACAGTGCTTAGGCATTTGGTAAATCTGAGCAGCAAATCAAAATCATTTAAACAACTGGATTGAAACACAATACAGTTCCTTTGGAAAAAAAACTATTTTTGGACTGAGGAAAAACAGCTTCATTCACAGATCCAGGAGGTTCAGCCTGTGCCAGCAGCAATACAGAATTAAGACTTTGAGTGGTTTAAATACCTAAAGGATTTCCAAGTAGACAATTTAGCTGGATTAAGCACTAGGCCTTATCATTTTAAACTGTAAATAGCATGTAGTTTAGTGGCTTTATGTTAGTGACTGTCTCTCTGTGTGACAACAGGTCAGAAACAGGATGCACTGTGAGAGGAAATTTCTGCTGCTTGACAATGGAACACTGCATGTGATCTGAATGACACTCTTCCTCCCAAAATAACATAAATACATTTCTGACTACGTAGGCCTAGTTGAATTTCAGGTCGACTAGAAAAGGTCAAAACCACATGAACTAAATTCACTGAATGTAATGTAATCTACATTCAATACATGTGTTTTATGCTTTGCAAACATAAAAAGCTGGTTTTCTGTAATGGTTTAAAATATTTTGAGTCTCAAACATAACAATTAAACTATTAACTATAAACTAAAAACTATTATAATATTACTATTTATGGTTGTGGCCAGTGAAATTCGAAGAACAAAGTGGGCCAGGAACATAAAATTCTTATTTGTTGAGCCCTCTATTTTACTTTGCATTATTGAAAAAGCTGGTCATTATCACCAAACTTGATCAAGTTACTTGTGAATGCTTTGGAAAAAAACCAGTGATGCTATAGATATTAAGTGGATTACAGTGAGATTGGCTAAGTCTGATAAGGAAACAGTCTGACGCCAGACAGGTTACCCGTTGATCTTTGACCCAGTCTAACACTGGGTCAGCAAATTCACAGAAACAGTCATGTGCTTGTTCAGAAAATAACAATTTATATGGTTATTATATTCAAAGCATCAACTGAAGTGGGAACTGTGTATGATTTCATAATCAAAATTTCCTGGTTATTGCACAAATTTTTTTTGAAAGCATCTTTTCATTACTGAAAAACACATGACAGTTTTCTGTTGTATAATGTCACCCTTTCACTTATAAACAGGATACTATTATTCTGAAACTCAATGGTAAGGTTGGAAAGATTTGAAATCAGGAAAACACTATTTTGACAAATCTGAAGAATTATTCTATATGCTCAAATTTGTGCAACAGAAAATCAACATCAACACCTGCAAATAAAACTAATCAGAAGTGAATAGTTGATATCGGAGCCACAAGAATTACAAACCACAACCAATTTATCAATACCACTGGAACAGTTACTTGTCACTGTCGGAATGCAAACTACTAGCCAATAATAAGTAGGCCTACTAGTAATGAACAAGTAAGCCTGCTTGGGATTGTCTGTATCCCAATAGTAAAACAGTGAATAAATACTAATGGAAAGTTACCAGTGAAAATTAAAAAAAAAAAATCACTGCTAGATAACCTATAACATGAAAATACATACTATTTAGACTAAAATTAATAAAAGTTAGTTTAACAAAGGCCTGTAGGCTATTTATTATTTTGGAGCAGGCAAAAAAAGAAAAAAGAAAAAAAAAGCTACGTTACTGTTTAGAAGTTTAGGGTCAGTAAGATATTTATTTTAAAGAAATGAATACCTTTATTCATCAAGCACTCATTAAACTGATCAAAATAAATGGACCAGTTTCTACAAAAATATTTAGAAAGACAACTATTTTTAACATTGATAATAATACATTTTGAGCACCAAATCAGCATATTGAAATGTTTTCTGAAAATTCAGCTTTGCCATAACAGGAAGAAAACAGTCATTTTAAATTAAAATTAATAATAATAATAATACTTCAAAATATTATTGGTTTCACTGTGTTTTTATCAAAAAAATGCAGCCTTGGTGAGCATAAGAGACTTGTTTTAAAAACATTTTCAAAATCTTACAGAGCTTTTTGGAAGCTTAGTGTTCATAAAAAGCAACATAAAGAAAAAAAAGTGAAATATTTACTCCACAATGCATAATATTCATCTTACCTTTCTGTATTTTTTATACTTTTCTTTCTTTTTTGCTTTCTTTTCCTCCTTTAGTTTGTGTTGGCTGTCGTCTTCCACTAAAGGCTCATATGGAGATCTCTCTGGCAGTAAAGTGAAGCACAGATCTCTGTGTTTCTCTCTCTGGTTCTGCTCCGGTGCGCCGGTATCGACCTGTCGCCTGTATCTGCCTTCCTCAAAGAGGCCAAGCCGCGGGACACAGAGAGACTTGGGCTTCATGGTCTTCACCAGGAGCGTGTTGTTTGTGCACTCTGATCAATCTCTGGACTGCATACGCACATCCTCTTGGAGCAGCTCTGCAGTGTTTGGGTTTGGCTAGACTCCAGCTCTGATTGGACTCCTACATCATCAGGTTCACACCAGGTGGGCGTCTGCAAACTCTTGTTGACAGTCCGGGGTCAGTGAAGTATATTCAAATCTAATTTTATTTCCATTCTGTTGAATTCACTGTTGAACTAATTCATGGGCCTGCTATATATAAGGGACTGTTAAAGCTAACATAGCTTATTGTGTGTGGGGTGGAAATCATTGATTAAATCAGTCGATTGATTTAGATTAATAGAGCATGATGACACTTTCTACAAAATAGAGACTGAAATTCTTTTTAAAAAAGTGGTCAGTGAAGGAAATTGTTTAGAAATTATAGACCATCAACTTCAGAAGGTCACACTAAATTTTATATGAGCTATATTATGGTCTAAAATCTGTTTAAAACCCTGATTTGTGTGACTTAGTAGTTCGCATCAAAATTAAGCTATTAAAGAAAATATTAAAACAAACAAACAATAAATAGGCTAAATAAATAAATGATTGTAAATTTAGCATATGGACCGCAAAATTAGTTTGGTGAGCCCATTTCCCTTTCTTAAAATAACTTAACATGCTATTAATTTGTATTCAATTAAATTAGGTGAGGGGACACTAAAGTACCATATTTGTTGAATGTGTACTTTTTAAATTAATTTAATCTGTTATATTTTTTAAATCACTAACACAAGCAAAATGTTATTTTCCTACAAATAACATAAAACGTTACAGCAACGTTTTAAACTAATTAAATTATGACTGAAATGCCGCATGCATCTGTTTTTATAAACGTTTTGAAAACATTTTGAAAGAACAGACCAACATGTGCAAAAACCTGAACCATAATATGAGCTAAGCGCAGCCCCGCCCCTTTGTGACCACGTGATCATTGAGTGACAGGAGCGAAATCACTGAAGCGAAAGTAGAATGGGCGAGACATTTGGACATATACTCGGCTTGTTCGTAAGTACACATTTAGTTTCTTAAATAACTTGGATAAAAGGTTTTGTACTTGACATAAAATCCTTATACGAATAGGTGAATTGTACTTTAACGTTTAAAAGGTATATTTCAATTTTACAGTCGATGATGGTTGGGAGTTATAGCCTAAACTAAACCGTCATTACATTGACTGATAACTGAATGCTTTTTAATTACCAATACTTTATTATTTTCATTTTCGATTTTTAGTAGTGTTTTAGTAGTACTGGATGTTCCGTTTTAAACACAGTCATTAGTCTCTGGTAGCATATAATTATCTGACTTTTACTCACAAAACTGAATGAAATAAGTTACTAGATTACATTTATTAACGTTGCTTGCGTAGAATGCTTGATATTAGAAGGCAAACGTTCTTTAATTCGATTACACCCACTTTAGACTGACAATGACAACAAGGGTGGCAATAAAAATGTCAAATTCTTTAACTGGGTGTGTTAGTTACAAGCTGTGTTTACTGTTGTTGTCATTTTTAGCATAATTACACAATGGCGTATTTCAAAGCAAAACTCACCTACATACATAACACATCAATCCAAAGTGTAGTTACTGATTTGGCAACCAGTTTTGTTACTGTTATTCTATGAGTAGTTCAAGATATAGATGTATGATGCAAGTACTACTGGTGATGATTTTTTGGCATGTGATGTTCTCAAAATCACATGGCATTAAGTGTACATGGATATACAGTCATGCTTATCTGCTTATATATACAGTATATATTTAAATATACATACATATATATATATATATATATGTATATATATATATACAGTGGGTACATATATAAGCAGATAAGCATGACTGTATATCCATGTACACTTAATGCCATGTGATTTTGAGAACATCACATGCCAAAAAATCATCACCAGTAGTACTTGCATCATACATCTATATCTTGAACTACTCATAGAATAACAGTAACAAAACTGGTTGCCAAATCAGTAACTACACTTTGGATTGATGTGTTATGTATGTAGGTGAGTTTTGCTTTGAAATACGCCATTGTGTAATTATGCTAAAAATGACAACAACAGTAAACACAGCTTGTAACTAACACACCCAGTTAAAGAATTTGACATTTTAGCACTTATCACAGCCTCACCAGCGTGTGGTCACTCATAAAATGGTGTACACAATTAAACCACAGAAAAAGTGTTTCAAACAAAAACCCACATGAATGTGCGAAACTGGTTAACTTCTCCAACTTAACTTAGTGGTTCCTCATTCCTTTGCTGTATTTTGTAAATTGCAACACTGATGTTGAAATTACACACCATTTATAGATTAAGAGAAAGTCCTCCACACGCCAGTATACTTTATGTCATACATTCTTTTGAAGATACTTGGATACATACTTAGATTTGATAAGAATCTCTTACTGAAAGTCCAAGTGGATTATTAATAAGTATTGTACCTTTAATATTCTGTGTTTTTTCTTATCTTTTTCCTGTCTCTTTTGTTCACATTTTGAAATTTCATGTTTCTAGTCCATATCATGTGTTTGTTCATTAATCACTCCTTCACTGTGTCCAGACATGTCTTGTTTAATCATTGGTTCTTGTGTATGTATAATTCCATAGGTTTTCCTGTCCTTTAACATTTATTTTATAACACTCTCTGAATCATCTTGTTTTCATTTTTGGACCATTTTCCTAGAAAAATAAAAAAGCTGTTGAAACCTTGGACATTAAGTTTAACTTAAGAAAAAGGTCAACTACATTTAAATGAATCCGCCAGATTTAAGCACTCCATGGTGAGAAAAGTGTGGTAATATGTCTTTTCCATTATTTATGAGATAAATGAGTTAGCAAATGTATTTCTAAACATTTTTTGTCTCTCATTCAAGGACAGTCTCACAAAAACAGCACAGCCATGCTTCTTTAAAAAGTGCTAATTCTATGCTGGATTCAATTGATTTGAAAAGAGAACCTCTTTTTTCAGTACAAAGGTATGTAACATCTGCTTAGTCATACTGAACATTTGAAAGTAAAACATAATTTAAAAGGACTTTTCATGTTCACATGCTACGTGCTATGCATAAATACAGCCTACCTATATTTTTTTCTGAAGGTTTGATAAGCAGAGAAAGCTGAATGATGTGTCGAATAAAAGCCAGGCATCAATGACTGAACCAATTTATTTCGACTTTGAAGACTTTGCCACTGAACAACAGTAAGATATTTATACAAACTGTGTCCCTTTATGTCTTGTAATTTACACTTCCTATTCCTGTGATGGCAAAGCTGAATTTTAAGTATTCATTGCTCCAGTCTTCAGTGTCAGTTATTACTGTCTTTACTGATCCATTTAAATGAATAAAGTTATTAATTTATCTGATCCCAAATTTTTGGACAGCAGTGTATTCTGCATCAGAGTCCAGTCATACACTTTCATTGTCAATGTATTTTCACAGGTCTCACAAGAACAATATTCCTGAATTAACAGTCCATTCCAATTCAGCCATGAAGTGCCAACAAGAATATAAATCAAGACTGAAAGCCAAATTTCAGTGCATTCGCAATGACATGTCCAAACAATCGCATCCCACGTTCCTGAACGACATCTTCACAGAGCTTTTCATCACTGAAGGGGAAAGTGAGAATGTCAACAAAGAACACGAGGTGAGACAGATTGAGACAGCGATGAGGAGAAAAACCACAGTGGACATTCCAGTCAAATGCAATGACATTTTTAAACACTCGTCTGAAGAAAACAGACCCATCAAATGTGTGCTGACTAAGGGTGTTGCAGGCATTGGGAAAACAGTTTCAGTGCAGAAATTCATACTGGATTGGGCTGAGGGCAGCGCTAATCAGGATATCAAGTTAGTGTATCCGCTTCCATTCCGAGAGCTGAACCTGATGAAAGGGAAACATTTCAGCTTGATTGAGCTTCTCCAACACTTCAAAATGGAAACAGGCTCTGGAGATAATCACGAAAACCAAAAAGTTCTCTTTGTCTTTGACGGTCTGGATGAATGCCGCTTTCCTTTGGATTTCCAGAATAACGGAAAGTTGAGTAACCCAACTCTGCCAGATTCTATTGACGTTTTGCTAACCAATCTCATCAGTAACAATCTGCTTCCTGATGCCCTCATTTGGATAACATCTCGACCAGCAGCAGCCAGTCAGATCCCTCTTGAGTATATCGACCTGGTGACTGAAGTTCGAGGGTTTAATGACCCACAAAAGGAGGAATACCTCAACAAGAGAATCAATGATAAACACCTCTCTGGTCGTATCATCACGCACTTAAAGTCGTCAAGAAGTCTGTACATCATGTGTCATATACCAGTCTTCTGTTGGCTCTCCGTTACGGTGCTAGAGAGAATGTTCAACACAGCAGAAGATGAAGAAATCCCCAAGACTCTTACTCAAATGTACACACACTTCCTTCTCATCCAATCCCATGCGAAAAACATGAGATACACAAAAGAGCACAACCCAGGCCCAGAGGATGAAGAAATGATTTTAAAGCTAGGTAAGCTAGCCTTCCAACAACTGAAAAATGGCAATCTGATATTCTATGAGGAAGACCTGATGGCCTGTGGGATTGATGTGAAGGAGGCAGTGGTGTACTCAGGAGTTTGCTCACAGATCTTCAGAGAGGAATCTGCATTAACCGAGAACAAAGTCTACTGCTTTATCCATCTGAGCATTCAGGAGTTTTTGGCAGCCATGTATGTGTATTACATCTTTAAGGTCCACCACAACAATGTTCTTGATCATGAAGAGCATCAAGAGCTTACCGAGACCACCTTCTTTGAATTGCATAAGAGTGCCATTGACGAGGCTCTAAAGAGCGAGAATGGACATCTGGATCTTTTTCTCCGCTTCCTTCTGGGACTTTCCTTGGAGTCCAATCAGAGCCTTTTACAAGGCTTGCTTTCTCAGTCTGGTAGCACAGACTGTCAAAGCATTGTGGAAACCGTTGAATATGTCAAGAAAATGATAGAGGAGACGTCCGTGCCAGAAAAGTCCATAAATCTCTTCTACTGTCTCAATGAACTGAATGATCTCTCTTTGGTCAAGGAGGTCCAGAGGTTCCTGAACTCTGGGCATTTTTCTAAACTTTCCCCTGCACAGTGGTCTGCTTTGGTTTTTGTGTTACTGACATCAGAAGAGAAGCTGGATGTGTTTGACCTGAAGAAGTATATCAGATCGGATGAAGGCCTCACCAGATTGTTGCCAGTGGTCAAAGCTTCAGAAACTGCGCTGTGAGTTTTTGTTTTGATGTTTTTCATGTTGATTGAGGTCACATGTGTGTATTTGGTTCTTATTTATTACGTCTACATTATATTCCAGACTGGATAATTGTGGACTTACTATGAGATGCTGTAGAACTCTTGCCTCCACTGTTGGCTCTAGCTCTTCTAATGTACGAGTGCTAGATCTGTGCAGTAACTCCATTGGAGACAAAGGACTGGAGCTTCTGACAGCCGAACTGGAAAACACACAGTGTAATTTAGAGGAACTGAGGTAAAGTTCTTAGTCATTGTCTTGTCTGTAACTGTTAATTTATTTGAAATAGAAATCTTATTAAAACATTATAAATGTCTTTACTGTCACTTTTGATCATTTTAATGCTTTTATTAAATATTTGGAGGGAAACAAGATGCTAAACTAACCCTAAACAAGGTACTAAAATGAAGACGTTTATCTAAAATGTTTTTGCCTATTGTGTTCTCTTTTACTGATTTTTTTGAAAATACTAAATATGAAAAACTCAATAAAGCATACACCATTAAAAAACATTTTAGCATATTTTAATTATTTTTAATTTCCTCAACAAAATGATTCCATATTGTAGTTGTAAATTAATATTTAGTACTATAACACATCCTGTGATGTGTTACTCTTTCCTCAGGCTCTCATACTGCAGAATCACCACACGCGGCTGCTCTGTTCTTACAACAGGACTGCTTCCAAACCTTCCAAACCTTAGGGTGTTGGACCTGAGTGAAAACAGTCTGAGAGAAGCAGGAATTAAGATCTTGGCCAATTACGTGAAGCATCAGCACTGTAAACTTGAGATATTGAGGTCAGTTGCAATAGAATTGAACCTCTTCAAACCACTTTAGTTCATCAGAACATATCAATACCAAAATGTGGAATTTGTTTGGCCCTCATGATCACTTGTCATTGCATTATTCATAGACTTAAGGACTGCAGAGTTACAACTCAAGGGAGCATTGAAATAGCCTCAGCTCTGCTGTCCAACCCGTCACACTTAAGAGAGCTCGATCTGCACTGGAATAACCCAGGAGATGATGGAGTGGAGAAGCTTTCAGCTGTAATAAAGCATCCACTCTCACAGCTAGAAACACTTTGGTATTTTTTTCTCTTTTTTACTTCATTAAATGTATTGTCATATTTATATACTACCATTCAAATGTTTGAGAAAAAAAATGGAAAGAAATGCTTATTTTATATAAAAAAGCATAAGGGCGCAAAGACATTTACATTGTTACACAAAATCAATTTCAAATAAATGCTGTTTTTTTTATCTTTCTATTTGTCAAAGAACCCTGAAAAAATTTAGCATGTTTTCCAAAAAAATATTAAGCAGCACAACTGTTTTCAGCATTGATAATAATAAAAAAATATTTCTTAAGCACCAGATCACTATATTAGAATGATTTCTGAAGAATCATGTAGCTCTGAAGTCTGGAGTAATTGCTGCTGAAAATTTGCCGTCACATAAATGAATTACAAAAATTTTAATGAGGTTTCAAAATGTTACTGTTTTTCATGTATTTTAGATCAAAATAATCTTTGTGAACATAAGAGACTTTATTCAAAGACATAACTATTATTTTTTACCAAATGTCCTAAATGTTTATTTTTCAACCGGTAGGCTAAGTTACGGTTTGCTCACTGAGAAATCCTGTCAGTCTTTGGCTTCGGCTCTGAGGTCCAGTGTCTCTACTCTGAAAGCTTTAGATCTGAGTGGCAACACAATCTATGATGAAGCGGTGAAAAGGCTCTCAAATGGACTTGGGAGCCCTCACTGTAAAATAGAGATTTTGAGGTAAGGCTTTTAAATCTGCAGTATATTTATATCCTACCCTCAGCAAACACTTGAAGCATATCCTGTCTTTTCAGGTTGGCATTGTGTGAGATCACAGAGGTGGGTGTTGATGATTTGGCCTCAGCTCTTGTTTCTAACCCAGCTCATCTGAGAGAGCTGGACCTGAGACAGAACCACATCAAAGATTTCGGTGTATCAAGACTCGCTGAAGTGGTGAAGATTTCCAATTGTAGGCTGGAAACATTATGGTGAGCAGTTGAGCTGAAGATTTGACTTTCATTATAGTGCTATACAGGTAATTTCAGTCTTAGGTGTATTAACTATTGTTGATTTTTGTAAATGTCATACTTTGTATTCAACTTAAGATTAAGGTTTAAATAGTGATAATGTGATATTGATGTCAGTTGGTTTTTCTTTTATTTGGATGCTTAATGGTGACATATTCTAAAGGAACACTCCACTATTTTTGAAAATAGGCTCATTTTCCAACTCCCCTAGAGTTAAACAGTTGAGTTTTACCGTTTTTGAATCCATTCAGCCGATCTCCGGGTCTGGCGGTAGCACTTTTAGCTGCAGCTTAGCATAGATCATTGAATCTGATTAGACCGTTAGCATCTCGCTCAAAAATGACCAAAGAGTTTCTATATTTTTCCAATTTAAAACTTGACTCTTCTGTAGTTACATCGTGTACTAAGACCGACGGATGATGATATTACGCAGCACCTGAAAATAGTTCCCAGCACGCTCCCTGTGCAAGCAGGTGGTCACGTTGGTTATGTTGACGGAAGTTAGCCTATTTTTAGGCGCTGCGTAATATCATTGCGTCTGCTTCACCCATGGTACAGCAGCAAAGCTCCTTGATTATTACGCCAGAATGAGAGTAAAGTTCCTAGCCATATCGGCCTAGAAAATTGCGGCTTTTCATTTTCCGTCGGTCTTAGTACACGATGTAACTACAGAAGAGTCAAGTTTTAAATAGAAAAAATATAGAAACTCTTTGGTCATTTTTGAGCGAGATGTTAATGGTCTAATCAGATTCAATGATCTATGCTAAGCTACAGCTAAAAGTGCTACCGCCAGACCCGAAGATCGGCTGGATTCGAAAACGGTAAAACTCAACTGTTTAACTCTAGGGGAGTTGGAAAATTAGCCTATTTTCAAAAATAGTGGAGTGTTTTTTTAAGCAAATTACAAATCTAGTTTTAAATGTTTCAACAACAAGAGCATTTTATGAACACATGTCTTTCATAACAGTTTAGGAGACAGTGGGGTCACAAAGAACGGTTGTGCTGTCCTCGCTGCCGCTCTAAACTCAAACCCGTGGTATCTGAGAGAGCTGGACCTGAGCAGTAATGAGCTCACAGATGCAGGGATGAGGCTCCTTTCTCCTGTCCTGAGGAATCACAGCAGCAACATTATGAAATTAGAGTAGGTTCTGTACATATATATTTAATTAACATTCTAACATTCTAATATATCAGATAAACTGTTAAGTATAAATAATTTTTTTTTTTTTTTAACAAATTAGGATGCATTAAATTGATCAAAAGTGGCAGTACAGATGTTTATTTATTATTATTTTTTATTTATTTAGTTTATTTCAAATAATTTGAACTTTCTATCTGGCAAAGAATCCTGGAAAAAATTATTTTCAGAACAAATATTAAGCAGCAAAGTATTTTTAACACCGATAAGAAGAAATGTTTCTTGAGCAGCAAATATTAGCATATTATTATGATTTTTAAAGGATCATGTGACACTGAAGACTGGAGTACTGGCTACTGAAAATTCAGCTTTGACCTTACATTTTAAAATTTATTAAAATAGAAAACTGTTGTAGCGAATAAGCTCATGGGGAAATATGAATAATTAATCATAACTAGTTATAATTAATTATAAATATTGATCTTCTCAGAATTCAAACAAACCACCGACTCTTGGCGGATCACATGGTGTGATGCCTTTAAGGCCGGAGAAGATCCCCGCCTCTCAAGATGGGCTTGTCCAATGAGAAAGACCGGTATCCCAAGTGGGAGCTTTGAGATACTGGGGAGTTTTATGACTCTTTGTGTGGAAGCATGGTAATTTGCATATGGAACTTGAATCGAAATTACTAAAAAAGTTAAGAAAGGCAAAGTTAAACCAGGCTCAGAAATTATTAGAGTCAATTAACAATTTAATATATGATGACAAAGAATATGAAC